ATAGGCATGCAGAGTCATAGACGAAGTTAAGGACAATAATAAACTCTAGAATATGGTGCCATGTACCCATCGCAATAAACTCTGGAATATGGTGTGCCACGTATTTATTGTAAAATACAAATTAAGGCTGTTCAATTAGTAGTATGAGGAGCAAAGACAAACTAAGTAGTAAAATGAATATCATACATAGTATCTAGGTGATTAATAGTAAAATAAACTGTCGATAAGTTCCCGACAGTGTAGAATCAACAAGAACACCATAAGAACTTGAGAATTTGGAATTTAATTTGATCGGAGTAGCACCGACCTTATCATTGGTTAATTGACCACAATGAATAAGCTCATTACATACTTGGATTGCCATAAAAGGTAACCTTTAGGAGAATAAGCAACCTCAGTACCCAAGGAATAATGTAAAGGACCCGAATCCGACATCTCAAACTAAGTAAAAGATATGGCTTCACTTTGTCTGTAATGTCAGTATTAGCACGAGTGATAATCAAATCATCATCAGACAATAAAAGAAGAATCAAGCCATATATAGAACAACAAACAAATATTGCAGGATTATGAGCACTAGAAACAAAGCCAATCTAAGTAACAACAGATTGAAAACGTTCATACCTGGCTCTAGGGTATTGCTTTACATCATGAAGAGCTTGACACAAGCGACAAGTATAAATAAGGAATAAGAAAGACCAAGAGTTGGACACCGATAAACCTCTTCATTGGGATACCTATTCAGAAATGCATTTTAAACATCGAGTTGAAATAGAGGCCATAGATGAATCGCAACAACATAAATTAAAGTATGACCAATAATCATTTTTGCGACAGAAGCAAATATGCCCTCTTACTCAACCACATATCCTTGAGAATATCTTTTAGCCACTAATTGAGCTTTATATACTTAAGGGGACCATCAAATATCCTTGTAAACCTTTTTGCTACAAACATCATTGTTACCTATAGGCAAAGAAACTAAATCTCAAGTAGCAACTTTATCAAGGGTAACCAATTTATCTTGCGTTGCATTAATCCAATTAGAACAAGTACAAGCTTGCTTATAAGACTGAGACTCAAAATAAGAATGAATAGAAGTAAGAAAAACACGATAAGAATGAGAAAAACAAGTATCAGCAAAACTAAGTCTCACTGGAGGATTATGAGTGAGAATAAGATATCGTCGTTCAAGTTGAACAGAGTTAATAGGTTCAGAATTGAGTTGTCAGAGCTAATACTCATAGAATGTGGAAGATGATGTTTCTTGCCAGAATAGACTAAAGGAGATAAAAAAAGAACGAAAGAATGAGAGAGATAAGATGAAGAAGGATAAACCTAAGAAGGAAGATTGGAAACATCAAGAAAGAGGATAAACTTTCCACAAGACTTAGGGAGGGGAAACATATCAATAAGCCCAAGTTCATCTCTTGAAACATGAGCTATTTTAGAAGCAGCGGTGAAATATGAAATGTGTTCAAGAAAAACATCATGCTGAGAGGGAGAATTTTTTAGACGCAGTACTATAGCACCAATATCCTTTCTGACTGAGACCATACACCAAGAGGCACAATAGAACAAAGAACAACAAAACAAGCTGAACCAAAGATATGTACAAGAGAGTAATTAGGAAGTCTTCCAATCAACTTTCATAAAGAGAAGTACCTGATAGAAGTGGGGTAGGCATATAATTCATAATAAACTACTATAAGAATAGCTTCACCTTAAATGAAAGAGGGGCCAGAGAAAGGAAGAAAAAAACAAACAGTTTCAAGAATATGTATGTGCTCATTCTCAGCAACACTATTTTGCTCAAGAGTACTTGAGCAAGTTGATTGATGTATAGTTTGAGATGTATCCCGAAAGTCATTGCAGTCCGTCAAAAATATTACCCACCTAGATCAGAATGAGAAAATTTTATGTTGGTAGAAAAGTGAGTGTGAACCATGGAATGAAAGTTATACATTTGAAAGAAATTAGATTTATGCGTCGTCAAATATGCTTTACAAAGGCACTATAATCATGAATAAAAAAACGTAAGACATAAAGCCACCTTTGGTGGAAACTAGAGAAGGTCCCCATGAATCTCTATGAATAAGAGAAAAATGAGTAGTAAAAAAAGTAGTACTTTTGTTAAAGCTAAAACGGACGTCTTGGCAAGTTTACATTCTCTAGAAAAAGAGATCTCTCTTGGATATACGTTGACCAAAGCACCAAAGAAAATTAAATTCTTTAGATTCTCACTGGACAAATAACCTAACCTAGAATGCCATAAATAAAACTGGGATGATTTATTATATAAACAAAGAGAAGACAAGTCGGAAGAACTGGATTCCACAACAATATGTAACTGCTCTAGAATTTATACATTACTAGCTTTACGCCTAGTCTAATTTTGTTTCTTGGACTCTTGATCCTAAATGATACTATCATAAGTTGAAAACACATATCAAAGCCTAAATCATTGATTTGACTAATCAATAATATTCGGGATAGAAATAGAGGATAAAGAGGGAAGAGTAGATCCAATAGAAACATGCATCATAGAATCGTTAACTGTAAGAATAGTTATAGGAGAAGAGGGAGAGGCACAATTATTGAGAGAAGAAAGGTTAGAAGTCATCTAATAAGAAAAACCTGAATCATATATCTTAGTAGAAGATGAAATACCTAAGATATGTGAACCTATCAAACTTGAATGAATGGTGGACATAGCAGAGGCATAAGATTGATCCGTAGTGAAAATAACAAGCATAAACTGCATATACTCAATTACTGACATGGTTTAGTGCAACAAACAATAGCCGTGAAAGCTAGTAAACCAACTTACCACAAGTTACTTTCACTCAAGTTAGTTAACCAACTTACCACAATATCTATAGCCTAAGAAAACTAGAAAACCCCATATTACTTGAAAGCCAAAAATACCTGCTATGGGTGTCTTATATTTTACTCTTAGTAAGTAATTGGTTTGAACTTTGTTTTCCTTAGGGATTTAGAAAGGTGGATGTCCTGAAATTTCAATTCAAGTAAAAGACCAATTAGAAACTCTATTGCATTAGGAGACAATATATTTTGGGTCTATAAATAGATTATAGATCATTTAATTTTTTTTGGGAATGTTGTTTTGGGAGGGAGATAAACGAAGTGGATCTTCCCTCGCGATTATACATGTAAAGCGCAAGACATTACCTACGGGGGTGAATAGGTTTTTGATTTTAAGTACAATCGATTACAAATTAAAATTTAACTCTACCACAATTATCTCTTCACACAAGCATATAACAATTTAGTGTGAGATCCCTTTTTAGTCACCATGATCCCTTATACTGATGAAGATTGATGTTGATTAATTTTGCAATTAATTAACTCAACTCAATCTCACGGTGATCCCAAAACTCAAAACCCAAAAGCAATTATGGATGAAATAGATTTCAATCAATCATTCATACAAACATAGTGTGCGAATGTGCAAACAATCACAAGTGTATAAGTAAAAGCAATAAATGACACGTGATTTGTTGATGTACAAATCCTCCAGGTAAAAAATCGCGGGAAACTTTCTCGGTTCACCATAATCTAATCTAACACTCCTAAAGTCAATATACAAGAACTCGAGTCTTATACCTCAATCAATACCATGGTTAAATACTCCCTTCTTTCAATATGTCTATCCGCAAAAGGACCTTTTTTGACATTATATGTAGATTCACTTGGATTCACCTCTGCAAAGGATCCTATAGGTTTCGGGCAATCATGAGCACCCCAACTATTCCCTATATGTACATACCAATGGGTTTGGTTCAAACAATTGAAGATTTTTAATACCAAGTTGTGAGGTTAGGTAGAATTTCTAGAAGGTAGCCTTAGGTCCTAGGATTCTAGGGTTATGGTGGGTGTTTTCTAGGTAAAAGATGATTTTTACTCTCAAAAGGCTTAGAAGAGGTTTACCCTAGTGGAAGGAAAGATATTTTTATTTATAGGTCCGAAATAAGGTTAATCGTGGTCAACAAGAAAATTTAAATTTGTGAATGACTGCTCGATTGATGGGAGGGTGGTCATATAACAATGGTTTCAAGAATAAAAATTACGCTATGAACCTGACCAAGGAGAGCAGATCGATCGAGAGACCATGAGACCGCTCTTGCGAGGTTAAGAACTGCTCGAGCGAGCTCGTAGAGCTAGCCCTAATCTTTCCTAAGTTATAAAGAGACTACTTTAGCGAAGGCTAGCGAGAATAGAACGGTTACTACTGATTTTTTAAGCCTAAAACCAAGCAAAAAATTTGACCTCTTGAGTACCAAAGGATGTTGCTCAAGAGTGGTCTGCTAATGGGTCAAATTATGTTTTCAAAACACAGAACGATTTAGAAAATTTTTTCATTTAAAACCACTTTGGAGTTATACACGGATTAATTCTTAATTCCATTTTAACTCTAATCCTCTCAAGTCTATAAGACCAAGGGATCATCTTAGGTATCTAGGTCATTACCTTTGTTCTAAGCTTGAAGGTGTATACAGAGTGTGAATGATGTATCTTTGACGATTGATCTACTCTCTTCAATGACGCTTCATATCTTTAATTTTTATAGCGTCATGATCATGAAATAGGTTGAGATTTACAATGGACTTTACAAAACTAGCCAATTACAAATATATATCTAAAATGAGATTTTGGCCCCCAGTTTTGGGCTTCTATATTTGTTTATATTCTCTTGATTAGAGAATTTTGTGCAATCTCCATTTGTTATAGTGAAACTTGGCCGTTACGTTTCTCTCGTGGACATAGATTTGTATTCTATATTTTTCTATTTTGTAATGTTTGTTTATCTGTGGCCTTTATTCATAACAAACTAGTATTAAAACTATGGTTTTAGAATAACTACAACAAAATTTGAAGTAAAAAAATTTGGTGATAAGAATAATTTCAATCTACGACAAATCTAGATATGTGACGTTCCTGTGATGGTGTCGTTTGACAAATGTTCTTGATGGGACACTATGATAGGTTTGCATTGCGGAGAAGGCTGTTGAACACGTTTACTTTTGTTTTGATGGCTTGGTGGGCACACAAGTTAAGGTGGAGATTTATTATAGATGCTTGCAATATTTGTACTATTTCCTTACATGAATTATGGAGAAGGCAGTTAGTTCTTTCACTTTTTTTTTTCGGTTGTTTGATGGAATACAAGTCAAGGTAGAGATTCGTTTTGGGTGTTTTGTATTACACTCCTAATAGGAAACTAGTTTGGACTTTGTTCTCATTAGGGATTTGGAAATGTGGATGTCTTGGAATTCCACCCCAAGTAAAAAACCAATTAGAAACTCCATTGTATTAGAAGACAATGTATTTTGAGTTTATAAATAGATCATAGATCATATAGTTTTTTTGGGGGATTTTAGCCCTCAGTTTTGGGCATCTATGTTTATATTCTCTTGATTAGAGAATTTTGTGTAATGTCCATTTATTGATTGTCGTGTGGACGTAGGCTTTCGAGCCAATCCACGTAAATTTGTATTCTGTATTTTTTTATTTTGTTATGTTTGTTTGTAGCCTTTTTTCATAACAGTATCTCTATCATATACAAACTTATTTACACTTGGCACTATTTATATGTTGTAAATGGTTAGAAGTCCTTCGTAATATTGCCCAAGATCGTGTCTATCATTTGAAGGACGAGGGGAAAACCTAGCTATTGAAAGAGAATTTGAACAATTTCAAGTTCCATCATGTTTCTTCCCTTGGTTAAGATGAAATATAGTTGGAAATATGAATGCAAAGTATTTTTTTTTCCCCTGAGTGAGAGCTTATTGGTGATAATTCTCATTTTTCATTACACGTGTCATTGCTAGATTTTTCTTCGAAGAGTTCTTGTAATTAAGACAAGGTGTAGTCATGTAGATGCCATAATTTTCTGGCTAAGGTGTTTCATGTCTAATCTTTTTATGATGCAAAACTTGTCAAATGATTGTCCAGGATCTTTATTAATGGTAGTGCTTTGTTACCTGAATATACTTTTAATAAAATATACCATTGGTCTTGAGCCACTAGGAGATGTAAAAAACGAGTCCCTCCTTTCTTGCCCAAGCAAAAACTGCTATCAAGCATCTCTTCTCGTAGCTCACCTAATTGTTTTCTGTCAAAGTCCTTTCCAGGATTTCTTTCCAAGAAAAAGAAAGGCACCTTAGAACTGCACCTTTTAAAGACCAAAGTTTCATCTTGCAATATTTATGTCTATTAGTGACTGTATTGTCAGAAAATAAATATTCATAAGTAACCAAGTATAACTTCTTTGTACATAAGATGATCAATGATTTTCTAAGAAAGCTTGAAAAGGTTTGAATATCATTGGATGACATCAATAATAAGATATGAGTTGATTTTATTGAACTGGGTTGATGCTGTAACTTGTTAGCGTAAGTTTTATTTTCGATTATCTTTTCTTACATTTAATAATTTGCAGGGCAAGTTATTGGAATTCATTCTACTAATGAATTGGACAGTAAATTGAGTGCTGCGACGAGGACATCCTGCCTGGCGATCCTGTATTTTACCGCAGCATGGTGTGGGCCTTGCCGTTTCATTTCTCCTGTTTATACAAGCTTGGCTGGAAAGTACCCAAAAGTTGTGTTCTTGAAAGCTGACATTGACGAGGCAAAAGATGTGGCTGCACGGTGGAATATCAGCAGTGTTCCAACATTCTTTTTCCTAAAAAATGGCAAGGAAGTTGATAAGGTAGTTGGTGCTGACAAAAGTTCTCTTGAAAGGATGATTGTCCAATATGCTTGACTGCCACGATTCGTAAACACCAGCTTTCTCCTTACAGGCTTAACCTTTGTACTGTTTTCCTACACACTTTTGTGGTGAAATCTGTGTTTCCTTGGTTGATTAGACTTTTCCCTTATGCATTAATGTCTTATACTACAGATATAAATAGGTTGAGAGTTCGCCTCTAACCTTTGCTTTTGTTAATTGTAGAAATCTGTAATGTTTTGAGTTAAATTTTCATACTAAGGAATCCTTATATTTTGTTGGTTTCTAAAAAAATTATGTTCATACTGTGCTGGTCCCTGGAAGGGTCTGGCTTTTATACTGCTTGTGAATATAGCTATGTTTAGTTTGATACCTATAAAATTGTTGGATTGGGCTAAAGCTCTTTTTCTTACGGATAAAGCTGGACTGAGTGAAATAATGGGAACCAAATAATGTGGTTTCTAATATGGTGAGTAAAGAGTAAATTTTGAACTAGGCAATGTACAACGAAAATTATCACCATTGTAGTAACGTCTCCCAGGAACAAAAAAAAAAAAAAAAAAACCAATTTAAAGCACCAGGTAAATTGTTTCGGTGATTTTTCATACTATTGTTTTATCAATACCATTGAGCGAGCTACTTGGGTGTGTTTGAAGATTGACATGCTAAGCCTTCCGGCTCTCTTTTTTCTCTCGGTATGAGGGCTCTCTCCCTTGGTTATGATTTTTTTGAGATTTTATTCTCATTTCTCTTTTTCGAGGTGGATCTCTTCGTCTTCTCAATACTATTTACCCCCTTTTCTATGTTTTCAACCTTTCTAACCCCTATACACTCCTCCTAGATTGGAATAGTCCACACCTTTTCTTTCTACGCTATATCCGTGTGTATCACTTAACCCAAGGCTTCCCAGCTCTTTTCTAGAAACGACGTTTGCTTTTCCAAAGCGGTGGCTCCCATCGATAAGTTTTTTGTGACGATTATACCTCACCGTCCTTCTATCTTCTTTCCCATTCTCTGTTTACCCATTTTTCTTACCATTATTGTTTTACCCACTACCATAGCGTTTTCCTCATACGTATCTCTTCCTTTTCTTTGTCTGATTTCCGCCATTATTGTGCTACCCTCCTTTGTGTTACCTTTGTTACAGACCCAAACACCCCCAAACCCCGAAAAATACCAAACCCTCAATCCTCTCTTTGTACTTCTTCTCACCCTATTTTTGGCTCTATTTTCTCTATCTCTTCATCTCTCCTGTAGCTCTTATTATCTATTTCCTACATATGGAGAAGGATCTCGAAGTTGACTCCCATTCCTCCCATCACCCACAAATCTCTCTCTATTTTGACCCCTCCACCTCAAAGACGATAGGAAAATTCTGCCTAGTGGGTTGATTTTTCACAAATTCTACCCTAAATAAGCAGGGGGTTTGTAATGTGTTGCAGAGCTCTTGGAAGACTTCCAAAGGTTTTTCCATCACCTATTGGGAAAGAAATACCTACATGTTTATGTTCAAAGATAAGGATGACAGAAATAAGATTTTAAATGAAGGTTCGTGGTCCGTTTTTAGGAGCATTGTTGGTTCTAAAGGTATATCAACCACAGTTTATCATGGGAGATTTCAATTTCCACTCAACTGAGTTTTGGGTACAGATTTGGGGCTTACCCCTCAATATGATGACAAAAAATAATGCTTGGAGAGTGGGAATGATTATTGGCGAGCCCACCCAACTCGAGGAATTTGAGGGGGAAGTTCAAATCTAGCAAAATTTTTTGAGGGTGAAGTGTAAGATCAACTTGAATGAACCTTTGAAAAAAGGTTTTTTCCTGACTCGGGACAATCAAGATGATATCTGGATTAGTTTGAAATTTGAGCGACTGTCCAATTTTTGCTACCAATGTGGTCGGGTTGGCCATTCTCAAAGTCATTGTAAGGACAGGAGAACGTCTGGGTCCAATAGCTACTTCGGGCCGGAGCTACGAGCGCAATCTATTCAGTTAGGGGTTTCTTCAGAGAAACTTGGTCCCTAAGAGAACGCGAGAATTTGGAAAAGAAGGACAAGCTCAAAGATAAAATGCATGAAGCTGATGGAGAGGTTGAACCAGGAAGGCGGAGGGGTTAGGAAGGGAACATGAACGTTAGTGGAGATTCATCTGAGGCACCCATAAATCGGGAAGATGATGCGCAGAGAATCCCTGTTAGAAAACGAGGCCAATACCAGTCTGGAACAGAAAAACGAATCACAGTGCCATGCACCACCCCTCCCAGTGGTACCTTATGTTGGTGGAGACCAAGATTGGGATTTGTCTTTATCCTTTTCTTTGTCTTTGTCCCAAAAAGATCCGAACATTCTTGTAGCAACCAAGAGGGGATCCTACTATGTTTATGAGTCCACAGAGAGCCTAGAAGCAAAGGAGATCAATGAAAAAGTGGTCCACATAATCATTGATAGTGAGGAGGAGGAAAGAAATGTTGAGATGGAGACCCACTTCCAAAGTATGACGCTTAAGAGGAATACTAGCTGGATTATGCGGCAAAGGAAGCCCACCCAATACCATGGAAAAAATCAAAAGCATTTTCAGACAGTGGCCCAAGTGCACCTCACCTTTCACTACCTTTTTCTGCCCCCCACTTGCTATTGATATGTCCCTTGTTAATTTTGGAAGAAAGCATGCCTTAAGAAAACGGGCTAGGAGAAGTAAGCACAAGGAAAATGTGTGAGGCGAAGGGCTGATGCACCCTGAAGCACAGTTTGCCTATCTTGAGAATGAAGAGGAACAAATGCAACATGATCTGGTTGAGGGCTATAATGGTCTCAATGAAGGGAAAGGTGAGAATAATCTGGACAGATGTATATCCTTGTGGATTACTCAACCCTCTAGGGTTACCTCTGATAAGGGTGATGAAACTAGTCGTACTGATAAGGTGGTGGTGGCTGACCTCAAATAGCCACATGATTCATGTTGATGCTTACTTGGAATTGTTAGGGAGTAGGGCAACCCCGGACAGTTTGTAATCTAAGAGGGCTTATCACCACCCATCGCCCTTCAATCGTCTTTCTTATGGAGACTAAAAACAAGTCTGATAAGTTGGAGCGGTTGAGAAGAAACTTAAACTTTTCCTATTTCGAGTATGTGGATCCTGTGGGCCTCTCTGGCGAACTTGCATTATGGTGGAAGGATGATACCAACCTGTTAATTCTGGATAAATCCAAAAATCTGATCAATGTAAGAGGTAGACTTAACCATCAGCAGGATTTTTGGAATTGTACCTTTGTCTATGCAGACCTGTTGGCTGAAAGAAGGAAGAAGATATGGGAGCGGCTGACCAATATAGCAAAATCCATCGACTTGCCCTGGTTAGTTGCAAGGGATTTCAATAACATTGGATCGTTGGATGATAAAGAGGGGGGGTGTTGTTAGTAGTATAAGGAGGGTGGAGGAATTGCAACAATTATTCTCTGACTGCTGCCTCATTGAGATGTGCTTTAATGGACCCAAATTTACATATTCTAACAACAGGCCAGGTGCAGCCAATGTCCAAGAGCGAATTGATCGAGTATTGGTTAATTTAGACTGGAGTGCCCTCTTTCCCTTAACTACGGTGCTGCATGAAACTAGGATGGGGTCTGACCATTGTCCCATTGTGACCCATTCCTTTAAATTTGAATGTATGTGGCTGGAGGATCCTGAGTGTGAAGAGGTGATTAAAAACAATTAGACTGTGAGAGATCCAACCTCTATGTTTCGTAACACCATCAACAATCTCAAGTCGTGCAGAACCCATCTACTGGAATAGAGCAGACAGAAGTTTGGTAATAATAAGAGCTTGATTCGAAAGCTTAACAAGGAACTGCTCCGTGTTCAGATGATGGAGCCTCAGAGGAAAATCTTATTGAGGAAGCAGAGCTTTGTGCCCAGATGGATGCAGAGAATAGAAGTACTGACAGCAACGTTTAAGGGTCAATTGGTTGAAAGATGGGGATCAAAATACCAGATTTTTCCACTTGTCTACCATCCAAAGAAGAAATTGCAATCAGATCGTTCAACTTAAGACTGACAAAGTTGTATGGATTGAGGGGGAGGAGGAGATCAACTCCCATATCACTGATTATTTCCAGAACCTGTTTCGATCACTGGGGGAAAGAGATTGGTCTGAGGCACTAGGGGCTGTACATGTCAAAGTCATTGAGGAAATGAACAATGCCTTGTTAAAGCCTATTCAAGATCAAGAAGTGTATGATGCTACAAAGGAGTTGGGTGCCTTGAAAGCCCCTAGTCCAGATGGTTTTCTAGGTATCTTCTTCCATAAATTCTGGTATGTGGTGGGTAATGATATTATTAAAATGGTTAAAGATTTCTTTGAAGGAGGTCAGTTGAACAGGGAAATCAATTTTACAAATGTTGTCCTTATCCCAAAAGAAGTTGCTCCTGAAACCATTAAACAGTTCAGACCAATTGCACTTTGTAACTTTTTGTATAAGGTGATATCAAAAGTTATGGCCAATAGATTGAAAGGAATGTTGTGTTCCATCATTTCCCCAAACCAAACTGCCTTTGTCCCAAATAGACAAATCCAGGATAGTATTGCAATTGCCAACGAAGTGTTCCACCATTTGAAAGGAAAGAAAAAAGGGAAAGTGATTGAAATTTCCATTAAAATGGATATTAGTAAGGCTTACGATAGGGTTGAATGAGATTTCCTGGAAGCAACAATGTTAAAGCTGGGTTTTGACCGACGCTGGGTTAGCCTCATTATGCAATGCATCAGTATTGTCACCCTACAATTTGTGCTTAATGGAAAGGAAATTGGCATTGTTACGCCCCAGAAGGGAATCAGGCAGGGGGATCCCCTCTCCCCTTATCTTTTTCTCTTAGTTGCTGATGTTCTCTTAGCAATGCTCTGGAATGGGGTTAATGATAGGAAACTAGTGGGAATCAAGATCAAGAGAAGGAGTCCAATGATCTCACACCTCTTATTTGCTGATGATTCCTTGTTCTTCCTCAAGGCTAGTGATGGGGGTGTTAGGGAATTGCTG